CTCCACCGTGCCTTGATTCCCAATCTTTTTATGGGATCCACAGCCCTTCCCTGCTGCGGTTCCAGCAGGCTGGAGGATTCCACAATGTGGCGAGAGTCTGGGTGATCCGGCAAAGCCGGCGGGCAGGGAAAACCTGCTCCTCCCCACGTGTGCTGCGTGTGCCGGGAATGCTGGCGGGAAGGGAGGGAGGCCCCGAGGAGCCGCGGTGCTGGAATGTTCCCCCTTGCCGCTGGCGGGATGGGCACGCTGGGACGTGCCTGCTCGGCTCTTGGCATGTGTGTTTCCACCCTGGCATGGAAACACATCCTTGCTGGAATGCCGGGAGCATCCCGCCTGCTCCCGGAGTGCACCATCCCACTGGGTTCAATCCCAACTCTGTTCATGGACCCCCTTCCTAAGGAGGAGCCCGTGCTCCTCCGCAGAGGAAGCAGGAAGCTACCCCACACCAACAGTTCTCATCTCCGCAGTGCTTTGCAAACAGTAACTAATTAATCCTAATTAACTCGTTACCTAATTAGAGCCCAAGGGCTCTCCCCTTTGCAGGGAGATGGGAAATTCTGGCACCTCAGGGGATTTTTTTTTCCAGCCCAAAACCTCCATGTTTGCTTCACACCAGCATCAGACAGCGCCCTTTGCACTCTCCACTGCTGCCAATCCAGGAACAAAAACCTACTTTTTGGGGTTGCTAATGCCAAGAAACCTGGAATGAGCATTTTCCCATATCTGGATAGCTGGCACTGGGAATACTGGCATCCCCAATGCTTGGTGTGCCCACCCATCCCAGGGGAGCCCACTCTGGTAGGTGCTTTCAACCATGTTTTTATGTAAAACGAGGGATTTTAGGGGAAGGAAACAAGTAGGTGGGTGGGATGAAGGTGTTTCCCAAGGAATTCCCTTTCCGGTGTGCCATGATCTGGGGCACAGGCTTTGGGAACACTGGAAAAGTCCAAGGGGATCCCAGTGTCACCACTCAGGGACCACATTTCTCACCAGAAAATCCCAGTTTGCCACCCATAAAAATCTCCTTTCCTCTGCTGAGTCAGCTGCAGGTCCCGGACGGATCTGGCGCTGGTGGGATGGGAAGGGGACGCTGCTCTGCGCAGGTCTAACAGCCCCGTGCCTTTGCCAAAACCCTGTGGTGGTGATTCCAGCATGATTTCCTTTCACTCCCGCCTTCCGTTCCTTTTAATCGCGGTTGGATCTATCCTGGGAGCAAAACCAGCCTTGGAATCGTATTTTTTTCGGCAGGCAAGCACTAATTTCCTTCATTTTCCAGCCTGGGATGGATCTGGGCATGGGTTTTGTTGTTTTTTTTTTGTTGTTTTTTTTTTCCCTGCATACCAACCACCTTCCCAGGAAAGGGGCCCCTTTCCCACACCCAAGATTAATCCACCCAAAGTAGGGTTGGAAAAAAATCCCGGATTGTCACTTATCCCAGCCAGTCCCAACAAGGAAAATCCCAGGAGATGTTCACCAATCCTTGGTGGATCCCACAAACTCAGCAGTGGCCCACGCCATCTCCTCCCAATGCAGCCTTGGGATTGGATAACTCCACTCCTCCTGCAAAAAAAATCAGAAATTGCCTAAATTGGTGCCGAGGTCTAAAACCACCAGTTTCTTAATCACAGGGAAAAAAAAATCCCACAGCAGAAGTGAAAGCCCGGATGGAAATAAACCCAGCGAGGGCAAACTCGGACATTAGGGAAGCTCTGGGGGAGTCCAGGCTCTCCCAGTGTTCCATTTTTGGGTGACACCAATGCTGGATGGCAATTTCTGGGTGTCAATGTCTGAAAATCAGATAAAAAGGGAGTTTTGGAGCTGCTGGCTCAGGTTCTCAGTTGAGTCATGGATAATTAATGGATCTGGGGACCTTCCAGGATGGGGAAGTGCTGGGTGATGGGGATCCCTGCTGGAGGGCTGACGGAGCAGGGGGAATGTGGGGAGGGACAGGGACATGCCCAGAGGTCCCACAGGGATGGCTCCTGTCCCAGCTCCATTGCCATGGCCAGAACCTGTTCCAGGGGCTTCTGACACCCCAGGCAGCTGCAAAGTGGTGTCCACTCTGTGGTGGAGACCTCTTGGGATCCCATCCCATCCCATCCCATCCCATCCCATCCCATCCCATCCCATCCCATCCCATCCCTCATCCTTTCCCATTTCCCACTTCTCTTGGAGGTACCATTTCTTTTCAGGACATCCCTCTCCTCTTTATCCTCCTCTGTAACAGAACATTTTGGGAAAACATGAAAAAGAGCCTTAATTTTTTTTTTTAAGTTATTTTTAAAGTGAAAACTCAGAAGCTCCAGGGTAAATCCCCTGGACCTAGGAGAAGAGGAATGGACGGGATTTGCCCCGCTCTTCCTTCCCCTGTATGCAGTGTCTGTGGATTTGGGGGGCTGCAAGTGACCCACAGAGGAGCTGGGGGGACCCTGAGAGGGGCTGAAGACCCCCTGGGAAATGAGGGGAATCCTCAGGGAGAGGGGCTGAGGGGCACCAGGGGGGAACTGGGGAGGATAGAGGAACTAGGGGGTGGGTGTTAGGGGAACTGGGAAAAGCTGGGACCTGGTGGGGGCTGAGGAGATTTGGGGGGCTAAGGGAGTTCAGGGGGATTGAGGAGAACTGAGGGGGGCTGAGGAAAACCAAGGGGGCTGAAGAGAATCAAGAGTGCTGAGGAGCTTTGCATGGGCTGAGGAGAAATGGAGGGGTGACAGCTTGGTGGGGCTGAGAGGAATTGGGAGCATGAGGAGCTTTTGGAGGGGCTGAGGGGAATCGGGTGGAAGAGTTTTAGGGAAGAGGAGGAGACCTGGAGGAAGTTGGGGGAACTGGGGGTCTGAGGAGATTTTGAGGGGTCTGAGAAGATTTTGAGGAGACTGAGGAGATTTGTAGGGCCTGAGGAAATTTTGGGGTGGTCTGAGGAGATATGGGGAGGTGGCGATATTGAGGAATCCTGGAAGTGCTGAGGAAACTGGGGGCGTGAGGAGATTTGGGGGAACTGGAGGAGGCTGAGGAGAATGGAAGGAACTGAAGGGATCTGGCAGATCTGAGGAGATTTGGGGGGATCTGAGTGCAACTGGGGGTCTGAGGAGATCTGGGGATGTCTGAGATTTGGGGGGTCTGAGTGAAACTGAGGGTCTAGGGGGATCTGGGCATTTGAGGATCTTTGGGTGGGCTAAGAGAATTTGGGGGCTGAGGAGATTTTGGGGGATTCTGAGGATATTTGGGGAGGTGAGGACACTGAGAAGTCCTGGAGGCAGTGAGGGAAGCGTGCAGTTGAGATTTGAGGGATCTGAGACTTGGCAGGGTCAGAGGAGAACTGAGGAGATCCTGGGCATTGAGGAACTTTGGGTGGGCTGAGGGAAAACGGGTGTCTGTGGAGATGCTGGGGGTACTGAGGTGAACGAAGTGGGCTGAGATTTGAGTGGGCTGAGGAGATTTGAGGGTTGCAGAAATTTGGGTGGGCTGGTGATGCTGCGGGAGTGGGGCGGGCTGAGAACCGAGGGGATCTGGGGGATGAGGAGACCTGAGGCAGCTGAGGGAACCAGAGGGCTGAGGAGATTCGGGGGCCTGAGGGAACCAGGGAGCCCTGACAGGGCTGAGGGGGCTCGGGCGCCTGTGGAGCTCTGGGGAGCCCTGCCGGGGCTGAGGGGACTGGCGGGCTGAGGTGGTTTGGGAGGCTGAGGGAACCGGGGAGCCCCGATAGGGCTGAGGCGGTTTGGGGGGCTGAGGGAACCGGGGAGCCCCGATAGGGCTGAGGCGGTTTGGGGGGCTGAGGGAACCGGGGAGCCCCGACAGGGCTGAGGAGGTTTGGGAGGCTGAGGGAACCGGGGAGCCCCGATAGGGCTGAGGCGGCTCGGGGGGCTGTGGACACTGAGGCGCCCTCACGGGCCTGAGGGAATCAGGGGCTGCGGAGCTTTGGGGAGCCCTGCCGGGGCTGCGGGGAGCTGAGGGGCTTTGGGGAGCGGACGAGCTCTGGGGAGCCAAGCGGGCTTGCGGGGCTGCGGACACCGGGGACCCCTCCCGGGGCTGCGCAGCTCCGCGGAGCTCTCCTGGGGCTGCGGCGCTTTCGGGGGGCTGCGGGCCCCGGGGAGCCCCTCGGGCCGGGGTGCCCCAGCCCAGCTCAGCCCAGCCCGTCCCTGGGCGGGCGGTGGCGGCGGCGGGGCCGGGCGGGCCGGAGGCGGGACACCCCCCCCCCCCCGCAAATCCCCTCCCAGGTTGAGGATTTCAACTTCACTTAACCAAACTTCGCCTTTTTCCACCTCTTTTTTTCATTATTGTCATCATTATTCCACCACCCCCCCTCCAAGCAGGAAGAAGAAGGAGGAAAAGAGAGAGAAAAAAGGGGGGAAAAGGGGGGGGGACATCGAGGAAAATACCCATTTACCAGGATTTTCCCTTTTTCTTTCCCTCTGGATGGTCTAATGGAAAAGTTAATTGCAGCCGAACGTACCTACCTTTACCCCCCCCCCCCTCCCCCCCCCCTCCCCGCGCTGCTTTTTATTCATTTTTCATCTAAATCAATATTTTTTAAAAATTTCCCTCCTTTTTTCCCCCTCACCCCCCTTCCCCCTCCCCTCAGCCCTGCAGAACATGGCGTCCCCGTCCTAGCGTTTTAAAAATAAGCCGGGGCTGCCATTTTTGTTTGCCTTTTGTCTGCGAATTTTAATAAAAACGTCTGAGAATGTGGGAGAGGCGGCGGATGGAGGGGGGGTGGGGGGAGCACCCAGCCGGGCCACCCCCCCACCCCCCCTCCAAGCAGGAAGAAGAAGGAGGAAAAGAGAGAGAAAAAAGGGGGGAAAAGGGGGGGGGACATCGAGGAAAATACCCATTTACCAGGATTTTCCCTTTTTCTTTCCCTCTGGATGGTCTAATGGAAAAGTTAATTGCAGCCGAACGTACCTATTTTTCTGGATGTTGCATGTTTTGGGGGGGGAGGGTTTGCTTTTTTAATGCATTCTTGGTTTTTTTTCTGACTTTTTTTGCTTACAGGAGGTGGCAGAAGCAGCGCAGGGGCTGAATATTATCATTACCATCATCATAATCACCATTATTATAATTTTCACCATTTTAATTCCTTTTCTCCTTCCTCTTTTCCTCCTTTTCTTCGCTGTTTTCTGCATTAACTGGTTTTGTCTAGAAAAGTGGTCTCGCTGGCTGGAAGGTCTAATGGAGGGGGGAGATATTTTTTTCATGGCGTTTTTGGCAGGAATGCGGCAGCTTTAGCGAGGGACCCAAATTTCTGTGGCTGTGTCCCAGAGGTCTGTCTGTCCCTCTCCAACATATATTTAGCCATATACTATTTATACATCCATAATCTCCCGGCCACGTCGGGGGGCCTGGGGGGGGAGCTTAGAGCCGGCGTGGCCACAGTGATGGATTTGAACCCAGGCATGATGAATTTGATGATTTTGATTTCTTTTTCTCCCTTCAAGGTTGGAGGATGCTCCTTGTTGGGTTATTTTTCCCCCCCAAGCCTGCGGTCCTTCGGATAGCAGACGGGTTTTTTAACCTGGGGAGGATGGAGCAGGTGAAAGCGGCTTCGAGCCCGAGGCCTTTGAGATTTTAAAGTGATATTTTAGCAGAGAGGTAAAAAAGTTTTTTTAAGTCCCTCACGGCATGCGATTTGCCGAGAGGCGGAGGGTCCAGGGCGAGGGGATGGATTTCACCCCCAGTTTTCCAGCCAGCTCCCCATCCCTCAGCTTTCCCAACAGCTTGGGGGTGAGCGGGGCTATAAAAAAAACACCCACTCTTTTTTTTTTATTTTTTTTGTTTTGTTTTCTGTTTTTATTTTCCTTTTTTTTTTGTTTTGTTTTGTTGTTTTCTCTCTATTTTCAGGCAAAACCCCACGTTCCCACGGGTCGGGTAGGTCGGAGCCGCTTCGCTTTTGTTCCTCCGCTGTGGGATCTCGCGCGCCGGGGGCTGGCGGGGGGTTCGGGGTGTGTGAAGTTGTCCTCCTCCTTGTCCCCCCGTAGAAAAACGCCCCACGTGCAGCACCCGGTCTCAGCTAGAGCTGGAGATGGACGCGGATAAGGGGAAGCAACGCCAGTACTCGCAGAGGTGGGCATGATGGCTGGATCGAGGGGATCACAGGGAGGAAAAAAAAAAACCCTGCTTTTATACATTTATGGCTTAAAATAGCATCTAATGCAACGGTGTGCATGCATGTGATTATGTGTGTGCTTATGGGAATAATATATATATGCACACCAGAATCCAGGTATTATATGTGTGTATATATATTTCTGTATAAGCGGGGGCATGGTGTTTTTTGGGGGTGTTTTGGGGGTGTGAGGGGCTCCTTGCCTACCCCCTCTGCAGGGGGGGGACCCCACTCTCGGCGTATGTGTGACCTCTTGATATTTCCCTTTTAAGTAATGTGCCTTTATATGCATAAAATAATAATGTTCACCCTCAACCCCCCCACCTTCTGCTTTTTCCCTTAAAAATGTGGATTTTTGGTCATTGGGCGCGATGTCAGGACAAGTGCATGTTGGATTGGGTGCTCTCACTCCCTCCTCGGGGTGATCCCCTGCCTGTGCCTCGGTTTCCCTGCGTGCTGTCACCCAGGAGTGACCCCCCTGTGCTGCTGGGGGTGGGCATTTGCCCCGGGCTGATTTGCGGTGCTGGCTTTGCCTTGCGGGGTGCCTGGCTGGTCTCTTTTGCTGGGGGGGTGGGTGCATTTGAGGTCTGGGGGAGCAGGACCCCCTCAGGCTGGGCAGTGCTGTGTTTTGTGGGGCATGTGTGCCCTGTGTCTGGTGTGTCACCCCACGGGCTCTGGGTCTCCCTGCCGGCTGTCCCCATGTCCCCTCTGCTGGGTCACTGGACCCAAACTGTGGATTTGGGGTCACACTGCCTTGGCCCCCATCTTTTGGGAGTGTTGCCACCCTGGTCCCCCCTCCTCCAGCCCCGAGTTGGGCACTGTGTGGGGGTCTCCAGCGTGGCTTTGCCTCCTCTCCTGCTTGCCAGTGGTGCTTGGTTCCTCACCCTGCCCCGTGCACCCTTTTCCTGCGCAGGGACCCTTGGTCCTGGCTGGGGCTCCTTCTGGGTTGGTTTTGCTGGAAATGCAGAAGGAGAAGCCCCAGCCCAGGGCCCTTCGGGGGGCGGAAGCCGGGGGTTTAATTGGTTCCATCTTGGGTGAATTCTTGTGGCGTGCAGGCCACCCCCTCCCCGAGCCACAGGGGGCTCGCCCGGCGTTCCTGCTCCGCAGCCATGCCTGCCTTCTGCCCCCTTCGCCTTGGGGTGAATCCTCCCTGGGTGAGGGCAGTCTGGGCAGGGAGGGATGTGCGTTCCCTGAGGATGGTGCTAGATGCTGGTTCCTACCCTGGTGGCTTTGGGACGCAGGTTTTGTGGATGGGCACTTGCTTTCCCTCCAAAACTCCTCCTGCTCCAGGTGAACCCCAGGGAAACTTGTTCTTAAGAGGGGACAGGGGCCATGGCCTTGTGTTTTTGGGGGGAAGCTGAGGCATGGTGGAAGGCAGAGCTGGGCTCCCTGCCCAGGGACCATTTCTGGTCTGGCCTGTGTTGGGAAGGACGTGCTGGGATTTGGGTGGGAGCGTGCAGGGTCCATCCATCCATCCATCCATCCATCCATCCATCCATCCATCCATCCATCCATCCATCCATCCATCCATGCCCCGGCTCGGTTCTCCCCTGTGCGCCGTCTCTGGCCGCCGCCGGCTTTCCTGCACTCGCCGCTTGGCATGGGGGGTGGGACCTGTGCCCTGGTGCTCTTGCTGGGATACTCAGGGACACCAAACTCGGTGTCTTGCTTGGTTGAGGACATGTTTAGCTACCGAGGGCTGCTCTGATCACCCCACATCCCTCCCCTCACCTCCCAGACCCCCCACTTTCAGCCTGTACCAGGTTGGTGGTCGCTCACCGGTCCCTGGGAGCTGCCCCTTTTCTCTCGGCGGTGGCGTGAAAAGAAATCTCTTGTTTCTTTTTATTTCAGCGAAGGCGAGACAGAGAGGGCTGCCAAGGTAGAGGCGTTCCCTAGAGAACTGTAGCTTGACTTAGCGGCAGTTGGGTAGGAAGTTGGAAGGCTCTAGTGAGCTCGTGCCCACCCGTGCCATCATCTACCTCCCATCAATCTGGAGCCTCAGCGACACGTCTCCCCAGGCAGCTGCGCCCACCTGGCTCCAGAGGCCACCCTGTGAGTACCAACCACCGCCGACCCCGACGGCCCCGGCACCGCCGCCCCCTCGCTGCCACCGCCCCCGCTCTCCCCTCGCCACCCCCAGCCCTGGCTTGCCAGCTTCTCCCGCTCTTCCCTCCCCGTGGGTGCGGAGGCCAGGAGGCTTTTGGGCTCTTTTTAGGGTGCTGCTGCTTCCCCCCTTGGCCCGGCTGAGCGGTGATGCCGGGTACTGTGCTGTTCTGGGGAATTTGGGTTTCAGCCCGTGGTTTTGGGGCTCTGCGCATCTTCCTGCTTGCTCTTCCCACATCCCTCTCCTCTGGCTGGGCTGCTTGGGTCTCCACCATGCTTTGGGCACCCACCTTGTCCCTGGGGATAACCTCGACAACCCCTCAGCAGCCAAATCTGGTGCCTGTGGAGGATGTCAGGGGCTCTTCCCACCATGGTTTGGACCACAGGACCCCACGCCACTGGAGATGTTACCCAAGAGATGTTATCCCCTGCCCAGCCAAAAAACTGGGGGGGCACAGAGAGCCCTACCACCCCCCTGTGCCCTGCAGAGCCGGGGGGAGACGTGCCGCAGCATTCCCTACCCTTCATAATTTCCATTTTAATGGATTTTCTTTTTTTTCCACCTTTGCTGCATGTCAGCTTCCATTTTTCATAGTTAGCTGAGAATAGAGAAAAAGGGAGTTTTTATATATACACTTTTTTTTCCATCTGCCTTCTTCCCCCTCCCACTCCGTTTCCCAGCCCCAGAGAAGGGGACGCCGCTCCCGACGAAACACTGCACAATTTGTAACATTAAATCGGGACAGGAACAGGGATTTTTATAATTATTTTGGCAACGCCGACCATTTCTTCCCTCTTGTTCATCCAGCTCTGAGTGCGGTGGTTTTGCAAATAATTTCTCATTTCTTTAGTAAGCCCTCCTCAGGTGGGGGTGGGGAAACACGTGATATTTGCGCTTTTCTCCCCAAAATACCCTTTGTGCCTTTCCAGGCTGCTCCAGCTTTGCAGGAAGGATCCTGGCACTGGTGTAGGGTTGCTGCTGTGTGCTGGTGGTGGTTTGGGGGCCACGCTGGTGGCTTTGATCTGTCTGGGTGCTGCTGCCGGCTCTGCTGGAGCCCGGCACGCTGTCGGGACAGGGAGAGCGATGGACAGATGGACGGATGGGAAGGACACAGGTCACGGGGCACCTGCTGAGATGGGGGATCTGCTCCAAAAAACCCTTTTCTAATCATAGCTCCAGTTTCCTGTTTTCCCACGGCTGCTCTGGGGTGGGGGATTGGCGCCGGGGTGCTTGGTCATGCCTAGGGGGCTCAGAGCCCTCGTGCCTGAGCTCCTGCTCCCTGCCTGTCTCCATACAAGGGATTCCCTGCTGCCAGCTCTGCTTTTGTCCCTGGTTCCTGGTGTCCAGCCCCTCATGCTGGCACTGGCATCCCTCATCCCGTGCCCATTATCCCAAGAGATCTTACCTATGTGTGTATATATACACACACACACACATAGCCAGTGGGTAAAAGCTCGCTGTGGGCGGCCTGTGGGTGCATGTGTAATTACACAAAGGAGCTGGCAGCAGCTGCGTCCGTGCATGGAAGGTGCACTGAACATCCCCAGTGAATTCCTGTTCTGTGGCAGGGAGCGGGACTTTGCCTCCCCCTGTGCCACTGGGATCTGCTAAAAACCCTAAAATTTGGTGTTTGAGCAGCTGGGAGGTGACCTGGAGTGGTTCAAGACTGGGAAGGGGAATTCCCGGAGCCGATGCCTGGGTGGTGTCTGGGACAGTCTGTGGCACTGAGGTCTGCCATGAGAATCTGCTCCCATTCCTTGATACCCTGGAACACACCTTGTCCTGTGCCAGGCTGCCGCACAGCTCAAGGGCAGGTGGTTCTTCCTCCCTGCCTTGGTTTCCTCCCAAGATGAGCATGGTCCATCCCACAGCTTCTTCAGCCTGGGGTAGCTGCTGGGAAGTTACATTCTGGTGGGACCAGGATTCCCTTTCTCTGGGTGCTGCCCAGCTGCCTATGGGAAGCTCAGAGTGTGTTTGAAACCTGGGGCAGCAAGTGGGAGGAGGAAGAGGAGGAAAGCTCATCATCCCCAAATCCTGCCACCCCCAAAGCTTCTGGGGATGCATTTTGTTGGAGGCATCGCTCCAGTTTCTCCTGGAATCCTTGCAATGGCCTGGTTTGTTTTGGAGCCAGAGCTCCTGGGGGACCCTCTCCCATACATCCCATCAGGAATCTGTAGATGCTTCCCCTCGTGTCCCTGTAGTGGGATTGGCTGGGGTGGTGATACCTGGTGATGCTGGGCTGCTCTGCTGGGATCATCCTCTTGCTGCCCCCTTCCAGCTGTTTCCCATAACCCAAAGATGGATTTAGAATGAATTTTCCCAACACCTTCAAGCGTCTCCATGTATCTCCCAGCCCTGCTGGTTCCTGGTGTTGCTGTTGAGCTGCTCCTGGGTGTCACAGGCACTTCACTTGGCTTTGGAGGTGTATTTTAGGGGATTCAGCTGGGACTGCTGTTGGGTTCAGTGTGCTGCTGTGCTCGCCCTCTCCCGTGGCAGCATCCCATCCACCTCTAATCCCTTCCTGGATGGGAGAAATACTTCCAGAGCTTGGAAGACTTGGGGGTTTCCCCCAAATTTCAGCTTCCTCCTTTTCCAAACAGTGTCCTAGTGCACTCACCAGTGTTTTGTGGTCTTGGAGCAGGCAGGTGCTTGGTGTCTGCCTGATCCTACTGGAGTTTTCATCTGGGAAGGTGCTCAGGGGGTTCCCCACTTCTGCCCCCCATGCCAGCTCCCTGCCTTTGCTCAGAGTCTGGGTCTTGCTTCTTGGGGGGGTGATGGTTTTTTTGGGGGGTTCAAGGTGGAACGGGGGGGACCATGTGGCAGCCAGTGATGTCCCATAACCGCCCCCCTCTCTCCCCAGGATGGCGGAGCCTCGCTTCAACAACCCCTACTTCTGGCCGCCCCCTCCCACCATGCCCAGCCAGGTAGGACCCCTGCACTGGGATTCTGGGAGGAGGGAGGATGTGGACAGCACTGAGGGGGAGGCTGGGAGTGCCAAGGATCCCGGTTCCTCTGCCCTCACCCACCTGTCTGCCTTCTCCCCCCTCAGCTGGACAACCTGGTCCTGATCAACAAAATCAAGGAGCAGTTGATGGCGGAGAAGATCCGCCCCCCACACCTGCCTCCCACCTCGGTGGCCTCGCAGCAGCCCCTTCTGGTGCCCCCCTCGCCTGCTGAGAGCAGCCAGTCCATCATGTCCCTGCCAAAGCTGCAGCAGGTGCCAGGCCTGCACCCCCAGGCCGTGCCCCAGCCTGACGTGGCCCTGCACGCCCGGCCGGCCACCAGCACTGTCACAGGTACTGCCGCTGGTCCCGCCGCTCTGGGGGACAGAGGGGAGTGTGGGTCCCCTCAAAACTAACACTGTCACCTTGCCCACTAGGGTTGGGGCTGGCGTCCCGTGCACCGGCCGTCAGCACCTCGGAATCCAGCCCGGGAACAGGGACCACCACCCCCTCGACCCCCACCTCCACCAGTCAGAGCCGCCTCATCGCCTCCTCGCCCACCCTAATCTCAGGAATCACCAGCCCCCCCCTCCTCGACTCCATCAAGACAATCCAGGGCCACGGCTTGCTGGGAGCGCCCAAGGCCGAGCGGGGCCGCAAGAAGATCAAGGCGGAAAACCCTTCGGGACCGCCGGTGCTGGTGGTGCCCTACCCCATCCTGGCCTCGGGGGAGACGGCCAAAGAGGGGAAGACATACAGGTAGGCACACCCCTGCCCGCTGTGGGGGCCGGGGGCGATGGCGGGGAGCCCCCCCACCCCAGCCCGGTCCCTGCGGGGTTCTCCCCCACACCCTCCAGGTGTAAGGTCTGCCCCTTGACGTTCTTCACCAAGTCGGAGATGCAGATCCACTCCAAGTCGCACACAGAGGCCAAGCCCCACAAGTGCCCCCACTGCTCCAAGTCCTTCGCCAATGCCTCCTACCTGGCCCAGCACCTGCGCATCCACCTGGGCGTCAAACCCTACCACTGCTCCTACTGTGAGAAGTCCTTCCGCCAGCTCTCCCACCTCCAGCAGCACACCCGGTGAGGGCCCGCCCAGGGGCTGGGGACACTTGTTCCTGCTGGCCAGGGAGGGGCACCCCACACCCACCAATCTCTCCTGACATCCTTTGTGGCCCTGCTCTGCTTGTTGGTCCTACTGCCATCATCTCCTTCTTCGTCATCCCCCATCATCTCCAGCACCTTCATTGTCTCTGCCACACTCAGCACTCCCCCCGTGCTCATCGATTCCCCCCCACCCTGGCTGTCCCCATTGCCTTTATCATCCCCACCACACTCACCATTTTCAGCACTTCCATGGGCTCCTTCATGCTCATCATCTCCACTACCTTCATCATCCCCACCATGCCAGTCTGACTCCACAGCCTTCATCATCCCCACTGTGCTCAACATCTCCACCACCTTCATAGTCTCTGGTACCTCCGTTGTCTCCACTACCTTCTTTCCAACCACGTTCACCATTGCCACCATGCTCATCATCTTCATTACCTTTATTGCCCCCACCATGCTCAGCCATCTCCACTGTGCTTTTTCCCGCCACTTTCTTCATCCCCACCATGCCCACCACCTTCAGCTGACCCCACCATGTCATCTGTCCATGCTTGCCAGTCCATCTCCTCCACGCTCCTCAGTTTCCAGCACTTCCATCCTCTCCCAGTCCCTATCTCTCAGCCCCATGTCTCCCCCTTCTCCCCTGTCACCTCCTGGGGCACAGATGTCGCTGTGCCCACTGTGACCCCATGGATGGGACGGGCGCTGTCCCTGGTGGTGGGAGGGGAGGTGACAGTGACAATGTGTGTGTCCCCAGAATCCACACCGGCGACAGACCCTACAAGTGCCCTCACCCCGGCTGCGAGAAGGCCTTCACCCAGCTCTCCAACCTCCAGGTCAGTGTGGGGGGACCCGGGCCAGGGGCCACAGGGTCGCCGTGGTCCCCCCTGACTCCCTGTGTCCCCTCAGTCCCACCAGCGCCAGCACAACAAGGACAAGCCCTACAAGTGCCCCAACTGCTACCGGGCGTACACGGACTCGGCCTCGCTGCAGATCCACCTGTCTGCGCACGCCATCAAGCACGCCAAGGCCTACTGCTGCAGCATGTGCGGCCGTGCCTACACCTCGGTGAGCAGGGGGGATGCCCCCAAAGCTGCCCGCAGCCCCCAGCCCCCCGCTCACCCCTGTGCCCCCCGCAGGAGACCTATCTGATGAAGCACATGTCCAAACACACGGTGGTGGAGCACCTGGTCAGCCAGCACTCGCCGCAGCGGACGGAGTCACCCGGCATTCCCGTGCGGATCTCCCTCATCTAAGCAGGGAGGGGACAGGACCCCCCCAGCACCAGGAGGAGGAAGAGGAGAAGGAGGGAGAGGAGGAAGAGGAGGAGGAAGAGGAGGAGGACGAGACCCCCAGCGCCGCGGGCCGCGCCCGGGCCGTGCTCCTGCCCGGCTCCCGCAGGTTTGGTGACATCCAAAGACGGTTTCAGAGCACTTTGAATCTCTGCGGTTTGGTTTCTTTGGGGGGGGCAGTGGGCTTGGGGGTGTCCCCCCTGCCAGGCCCCGCCCCCCATTTTTGGATACAAATATATATATATATATTTATTGGCCAAGAACTTGGTGCTGCTAAAGACCAGAAATTCACCCCAAAAACGAACCGTGGATGGAGCAAAAAGCAGCTGGGGGGGGGGAAGTCCCACCACCCCCCACCCCCCCCACAGACTCTGGGCCCAAGCGCCTCCATTTGGGGTTGATTTTTAACCATTTTGGGGGTTTTTTGTGTTCTTTTGGGGTCCCTTTCGAGGGCGAAGCCGCGGGCAGAGCTGCGTCCCCCCGGTGACGGCCCCCCCATTCCGCAGCCCCAGTTTTGGGGGGCTCGGGGGTCCCCCTGCTTTGCCTTGTGCCTGCCTGTACATACCCCCTGTATAGAGCCGGGGGGCACTCCCCCCAAACTCATCTATATTCTGTACTTTTTGGTTCATTTTGGATATTAACTGTGTTATTTTTTATACACTTTTTAAGCCTTAACTCAGCGTTTCTTTGGGGTTTTTTGTTGTTTTTTGTTCAGGGTGTTTTATTTACCTTTTATTAATTTTTAACCCCTCTGTTATTTTTTACCCTCCCTATTATTTTTACCCCCGTCCCCTTATTTTTTACCCCCCATTATTTCTCCCCTCAATGTTGTACGATATCAATATTGTAACCTTTTTTGTCAGCATGTTAATACTGTGTAAATATGCCTCTTATACACTTAGCCCCCCCTTTTTTCTCCCCTTCCCCCAAATTTTGGGGCTTTTTTATTTTCCTCGCTGCCCAGCCAGGCCAGGCCTCCCTAGAGCTAGTTGGTACCTTATTAAAAAAGGGAAAAAAAAAAAAAAAAAGAAAAAAGAGGAGAAAATGGACAAAACGTTGCCCCTCTCCCTGTTGTCGCCACCCCCTCCTGCATTGTGGTTCCTGGAGAAGCTGGGCAGGCCACGGCCTCACAGTGTGGAAAAGGAATGAACCCCCCAGCCCAGCCCCTTTCCAAAAAAAGAGAATAAAAGAGAACAAAAAAAAAGACCAGAACAGGAATTAATGAAACTGGGGGGTTGTGATTGGGGGGGAGGGGAAAGATGGGGGGAGGGCACTCCCCTGTGGGGACATCTGGGGACACAGGGGGGCCTGGTCCCTGTGGGGCTGCAGGAGGGGAGGTGAAGCTGTGGGTCACCTCAGCAGGAGCATTGTCCCCAAGTGTCCCCAGGGAGAGGGGTGTGGGTGACCCACTGCTGGGGACACCAGCTCTGGGGACAGTCCACTCTGGCCACCACTGCTGGGGACATGGGACACCTCACCATGGCCACAAACTCTGGAGAGACTTGGGGACCCTCTGGCCACCTGGGGACCCTCCAGGAACCTGTCACCACCTCCAGGGACGCCTCACCGTGGCCACAGCTCTGGGGTCACTACACTGTAGCCACCAGCCTCAGGGACATGGTACCAAGGATGTCTCACCTCCGTGGCCACCAGCTCTGGGGACACCTCACCACTGTGCTTATCAGCTTTTGGGACACACTGCTACCAGCATCAGTGCTTGGGGACACTGCGCCATGGCCGTGTCACCACCACAGCCACCAGCTCTGGGGACACCTCAGTACAGATGCTCCATCCAGGGACCCCTCCCCAGGCCCATCAGCTCCAGGGACGTGCCACCACCCCAGGGCCATCTCCAGGGATGTGCCATCACCTCTCCTCCTGTGCCCCTCCCCACGACTTCAGGACCTGTGTCCCCCTGAGCACTGTGACTTGGGGGTCACCTGGAGGTGCCACTGTCACCACAGGCTCCTGGGAGGGGAACATCACCCCCAGCTCCCAACGTGGGGGCAGCAGGGACCCCCAGGTCACACAGCCCCAGCCCTGTCCCCACTGCCCTCAGGAAGTCCCACCACCCACGGTGGCACTTGGAGACACCCCCCAGTTGCTGCCTTACTTTACATGAGAAGAAATTTGGAGGTGGGAAGTGAAGAAAACTGGGAGGGCCCCAAGTTGTTTTTTTTTCAGTGTTTATTAAAAACAAAAACAAAAAAAACAGGAAAAGGGGGGGTGGGACCATGTGTTTTTTTCAATTTTTTTTTCCTTTTCTTTTCTTAAAAAGATCGTGCTGGCTGAGGGGGGAGTGGGGGGGTCCTTACCTGCCTGGGGGGGACCCCCACCACTGTCCTCTGCTAAGGTGCCCCCAAAAGCAGCCCAGAGTGTGGGGGTGTGTGTGACTGGGGGGTGACGCCTCCTCCGCGCCCCCCGCCTCTCCCTGACCCCGGGGGGGGCAGTCCAAGCCTCCCTGGGGCCCCAATCCCAGCTGGGGGAGGGAGCACACGTTAAGGCAACCGTCCTGCTTGGCTCTGCTGACCTGGGGGGGACACGGGGAACGCGTGGGGACCCCCCTCCCTGCTGCAGAAGGGGGGGTGACCCCCCAAAACTGGGGGGGGGGGCTCTAGAGCTACGGGCTATTTACACCCCCCGGGGGGGCAGGGGGGGCTGGGTGTGCTCACAAGTGTCTCCCCCCCTCGCCCCCTCCCCGGGGCCACGCTGGGGGGTCGGGGGTCCTGCGGGGCTCCCGGGAGGGTCAGGGGTCCCACAGGGGGGGAGCGGGGTCCCGTGGCCCCCCCCTCAGGAGTCCTTGAGCATGTTGATGCGGGCGTAGATCTTGAGCGCGGGGCCCAGCTTGATGTTCATGGTGCTCATGAGATGATCCTCCTTGAGCAGCAGCAGCGCCTGCCCGTCGATCTCCTGAGCCCGGAACTCCTCCGCGATCTCCTGGCAGCCTGCGGGGAGGGGCAGCATCAGCAAACCCCCTCAGGGCCCCCAAAATACACCCAGGGGCTTCTCTGTGCTTAAATCCCCCGAAAAATCTGTTTAGGGAGTTATCATATGTAAATCACCTCCTCCAATTATCCTGGAGGTTTATTTGTAAGTCTCCCTGCAACCCCCAAAATATTAATGGGTTTGTGAGTAGAATTTATCCCCCCCAAAAGATTTATGGGGTTATCTGTAAATCATCCCCCAAAAATAGCAGATTATCAGTGTGTAAATCCTACTCAAAAATAGATATATGGGGTTCTCTGTGAATAAATCTCTCCCCAAACCCACAATTTTGGAGTTATCCTTGAGCAGATCCCTCCTTGACCACATCCTGAGAGACCCAAGTCTTCCCAAAGCACAGTGCTGGGTGTCTGTGGGAAGATCCCTGCCCACCCCGGGCCGTTCCTCACCCGGCAGCGAGCGGATGAACTCGTAAACGTCCTCCACGTTCCACTTGCTGGGCTCGCTGGGCAGGAAGCGGTGGCCGAGGCCGGGCAGGTCGCGGCCGTGCACGTCGGGCAGCTCCATGTCCCGCAGCTCCAGCTCCCGCTCCCCCTGCCGGCGCCGGGACGTGGAGGAGCTGGCCGAGATGGGCGACAGCGGCTCCTCGTAGCTGGAGTTGTCAGAGCAGCGGCTGGAATCCTCCTGGCTGTGGTTGAGCTGCAACGACGCCGTCACCGACCCCGCTGGGACGGACCCCGGGGGCTGCGGGGGCAGTGCTGGCCTCAGCACCTGCCCCACGACCCCAAAGTTCAGGGACAAACCCCAGCCTCGCGTGCACCCTGTGCTCCCAGAACCCAGGGACAAACCCCAGGCTTGGCACCCACCCCATGTGCCCCCAGCCGAGGCCAAAACCCGGCCTCAGTGTCCCCATAACTGGGGGTAAATCCTGTGCTCAGCACCCACCCTGTCCCCCCAAAAGTCAGGGACAAACCCAAGGCTTGGAGCCCACCCCACATTCCCAAAACTGGGACCAAATTCCAGCCCCAAGGCCAAACCCAGGGGACAAAGCCAAGCCTCAGTGCTCACCCCGTGTCCCCATAACTGGGAGTAAATCAGTGCCCACCCTGAGCCCCCAAAAGTCAGGGACAAACCCAAGGCTTGGAGCCCACCCCACATTCCCAAAACTGGGACCAAATTCCAGCCCCAAGGCCAAACCCAGGGCCAAACCCAGGCCTCAGTGCTCAGGCCAGGTCCCTCACCTGTTTCTTGCTGTCCTTGCTCAGGGGGGGCAGGGTCCCTTTGCAGCTGCGGCGCCGCCCGTGGGGGGGCCCTCCTGGCTTCTGCAGTTTGCTGCGGTCTGGGTGGAACAGCCCCACCCTCTTCGTGCAGCCCACGTTGTACCTGCACGGAGCCGGCGGTCAGGAAGGGTCCCCACTGCAACCGGGGGACTTTGGGGCTGCCTCTACCCCACTGACCAAGAGGGGAAGGGTGGATTTTGGGGTTATCCCCACCATAGCAAGTGGATTTTGGAGTTACCCTTCCACCACTGGGTGGATTTTTTGGGATTACCCCTCCCACGCTGAATGGGTTTTCAGGTTACCTTTACCCTGGCAGGTGGATTTCTGGGGCTACCTCTGCTCTCAAGTGAATTTTGGGGTACCTCTACTCCACTGAAGAGAGTCCAGATGGGTTTTGGTGTTACATCTGCTGTCAGGTCGGTTTGGGGATGCCTCTACCTCCACCCAGCTTGGGTGGATTTTGGGGCTACCTGTACCTGGCTGAGGAAGGGGCTGGATGGATTTTGGGGTTACCTTTACCCCACCAAGGAGGGGATGGATGAGTTTTGGGGTTACCTTTACCCCACCAAGGAGGGGATGGATGAGTTTTAGGGTTACCTTTACCCCACCAACAAGGGGTTGGTGGGTTTTGGGGTTACCTGTACCCCACCAAGGAGGGGTTGGGTGGGTTTTGGGGTTACCTGTATCCCACCAAGGAGGGGTTGGGTGGGTTTTGGGGTTACCTGTATCCCACCAAGGAGGGGTTGGGTGGGTTTTGGGGTTACCTGTACCCCACCAAGGAGGGGTGGATGGGTTTTGGGGTTACCTGTACCCCACCAAGGAGGGGATGGATGAGTTTTGGGGTTACCTGTACCCCACCAAGGAGGGGTTGGTGGGTTTTGGGGTTACCTGTACCCCACCAAGGAGGGGTTGGTGGGTTTTGGGGTTACCTCTTGGCACAGGCCATGGAGCAGAAGCGCTTGGAGCGCTTGAACTTGTAGGCGAAGTCAACGCGGCCGCAGAGCTCACACTTCAACTTGGGAGGGTTCCCCTCCTCTTTGGATTCTGGGGGGCGTGGAGGGACACCCAGAGAGAGAAACCAGCCAGCTCAGCCGGGCGCCCCGGGGCAATCCCGGGATTTGGGGGCAATCCCGGGTAAAGCCGGGGGCTCCCAGGGCCCGGGCGCTACCTTGCAGGTAGGGCTCCTCCATGTCCGAGTCGGTGGTGGTGGTGTTGTCCTGCGCTGGCAGTTTGTCCGGCAGCAGCTCCTGTGCATACTGCTTGTGCAGGGCCCCCACCAGCAGCGAGGAGCGGCCCACCTGCGCAACACACCCGGCTGCACCCCTGCCCCAGGGAGCCCTCCCCAGCCCCCAAGCAGGGCGAGGCTGAGCAGGGATCGGGGATTTGTCACCAGGCACAGCCCTGCCCCTCCTGGGTGACGGTGACACGGGGGGATGTGGGGTCTGGCTGTTCTGAGTGACCCATTCCCGACCCCTCAAACACAGGAGCAGGGATATTACCAGGAATGATTCCACCCCTTCCTGGGTGCTGAAGTGCTCAATAACACAGGCAAGGGTTTGGGGGTTCATAATTGGCAAAGTGACCCAAAACCCCCCAAATCCCACCCCCCTTCCCAATCCCTCAGCTCCAGGAAGGACAGCAGGTATGTACCAGGAACAGTTCTGTCTCTTCCCAGATGGTGGAGATGCTCAATAACATGGGTGAGGATTTGGGGGCTCAGGATTGTCTGGGCATCCCATTCCCAACCCCCCTCTTCCCGATTTCCCACATCCAGGAACGAGCACAGGTGGAGGGGGATACATTACTGGGAACGGCTCAGCCCCTTCCTGCACCATAAGGAACTCAAAAATGTGAAGATTTGGGGATTCACAATGGTGTGGATTCCCAAGCCCCCAAACCCAGAAGCAAGGAGAGGGGAATGCATTCCCAGGAATGCTTCTGCCCCTTCCTGCACAGTGAACACGTGTAACATTTGGGGGTTCACAATTGCCTGGGTGCCTCACTCCCAACCCCCCAAACAGAGAAGCTGCCCTCCCACACACACAAATGCAGGGACAAGGATAGGGATTGGTGGATACGTTACCAGGAACAGCTCAGTCCCTTCCTGAATGATGAAACACTCAGCGATGTGGGGGAAGGTTTGGGGATTCAAAAGGCCTGGATGCCCATTCCTAACATCCCTCTGGCCCAGAAACAGGGCTGGGGAGGGGGGACACCACCCTAGGAACATTTCTGCCCTTCTCTCATGAAGCTCTCAGCACACGGGTGGAGGATTTGGGGGGGGTAATAATGTTTGTTTGGATGCCCCATTCCCAAACCCCAAATTCAGGGACAAGGATGCAGAGGAGGATATACATTACTGGGAATGGCTCTGCCCCTTCCTGGATGACGTCCTCGATGAAATGGGTGAGGATTCGGGGCCTCACGGTGGTGGGTGCTCCACTCCCAACCTCCCAAACCCAGCAAGAAGGGCAGGGGCACCGGGATACGCTACTGGGAGGGGCTGGGCCCCCTCCCGGGTGACAAAACACCGGATAACGCGCGGGGATCACCCCGCGGCCCCGGGAGCAGCGCGGCCGTTCCCCGCACGATCAGCGGGGCCGATGCGGGGGCTCACGCCCCGGAGCCCGGAGCGCTCCCCCCGCCCCAGCCCGGCTCCGGGAGAGCGGGATACGTTACCGGGAAGGGCTCGGCGCCCTCCTGGATGACGAAGCCCTCGATGACGTGCGTGAGGATCTGGGGTTTCACGATGGCCTGGGGCGGTTTGTTCTCACCATTGTGGGGGGCGGCGCCGGCGACGGTGGCGGCAGCGCTGCCGGAGCCCGAGGTCATCCCGGGAATGCGGGGCTGCGCATGGAGGCGCTCGGGGGGCTCTGGGGACAGCGGGCACACGCGGTGAGGGGCGGGCGCTGACGCCGCGCTGACGCGGGGCCGCGATTTCCATACAGCTGGAACGGGAGCAGCTGCCGCCGCTCCCAGCGCCGCCCCGGCGGCCCCGGGGGGCGGCGAGAGCGGCCGCGGGGCCCCGGCACCCCCGGGCAGTCCCGGCGGGCGCCCTCGGGGACCCCGAGGGACGGCTGTGGCGGCAGGGACACGCGTGGGGCAGGGTCAGGGCAGGGGGCACGGGGACATGCACCTGCACGAGTGGAGTGTGCACACCTGTGCAGGGGTCACACGTGCCTAGGGCGGGCATGCACATGCACACACGCGTGTCACGTCGGGCACGCGTGTCCAGACACACCTGATCTGGCACGCACATTTGCACACGTGTGCAAGGAGCCTGTACACACCCCCACAAACACACGCGTGCACGGGGCTGGCATGAGTGTCACACACATGCACGGGCCAGCACACGTGGATTGAGCACAGCTGCACACACATGTGAGCTGGGCAAGCACGGCTGCACTCATGTGCACCGACCTGGAGTGAGTACGCACACACATGCAGGGAGCAGACACATGCACATAGGCACACATGCATGTGCATGCATCTGGCAAAGCTGTGCACACACACTGTATGGGTCCAGGACACACATGCACGGTCAGACATACAAGATCAAACACAGATGTGCACACACACACAGGGATCAGCCACATGCTCCCCGTGTCACAGGCACACACAGCCACGTAAGTGCCATGGATGGAGCAAGCCTGCACAGGTGTGCATGGAGCAGGTACACGCATGCAGCGTGGCACGAGCGTGCACACCTGTACACCTGCAGACTGACGTGACAACTGGGCCCGCATGCACATTGCAGGAACACACATGCACACACGGGTGTGCAGGGGCTGTGCACATGTGCACACAGCTGACTCCCCAACATCCCCCACTCCCACCCCGGTGTCCCCATTCCTCCTTCCCTCCCCTGAGCTCCCCCCACCGAGGGGCTTGGGACCCCTCACCGTGGGGGTTTGGGGGCAGTTTGGGGGCCCCCCACGATGAAGGTTTGGGGAGGTCGGGGCCCCTCACAATGAAGGTTTGGGGGCAGTTTGGGGGCCCCCCACGATGAAGGTTTGGGGAGGTCGGGGCCCCTCACAATGAAGGTTTGGGGGCAGTTTGGGGGCCCCCCACGATGAAGGTTTGGGGAGGTCAGGATGCCCCTCACCGTGGGGCCGGCGGGCTGCAGCTGCAGGATGACAGCCGAGGCGTGCTGGAACTTGCGGGGGGCAGCGTGGCAGCCAGGGTGCCCGTTGGGGGGGCCGCCCTCGCCCCCCGCTCCCTGGGGGAGCCCTGTTTTGGGCTGGGGGCCCGGGCCGGGGCTGGCAGGGGGCAGGGGCTGGAGCTGGGGGGCTGTGGGGGGCCCCGAGGGAGGCTGCCCACGGGGGCCCAGCTGCTGCTGCTGCTGCTGGATGACGAACTGCTGCTGCGGCTGCGGCTGCATCGGCTTCGGCGGCTGCTGCAGGAACTGGGGGGGCTGCAGCGGGGCATAGGCTGTGGGGACAGCAACGGGGACAGAGATCCCCCTCACCACCAGCACCTCAGCCCCGCGGGACCCACCCCAGGATCCCCCTCCAGGCGGCTGCTGCTCACTCTGTATCTGTTCCCTCTGGGGCCCTCGGGCAGTCAGCTCTGATGTGGGAAGCTGCACTCAGGCTCTCCCGGGGTGGGTCCCCAGTTTTGGGAGCCATGCCAGTGCAGCACCCCAGGCTCCAGCACTCCACAGAGTCCCCTGCCTCACACCCTCGCTGCCCCAGCCCCCTTCACCCCACAGGACCCTGGGATCCTATGGGTGCTGAGACCCTCCCGAGCAGGGCCCCTGCCAGTGAGGGGACGGACCCACACGGTCCCAAACACAGGCAGGTGCCAGCGCTCAGGACACAGCAGCGTGGGCCATCGCTAGGGCTCAGAGAGCCCGTGACTCCCCCAGCACCCAGGGGTGTCCCCGCCCCGGAGCAGCCCTTACCTGGGGTGACGAGCGGGTGGGTGGCAGCGGGGGCGGCGCTGCGGGCCAGGGCATGGGCGCGGCCCTCGTGCCCCTCGGCCTTTTTGAGGTGCTCGGCGGGGGGCTCGGGTGGGGGCCCCCGGGGGGGGCCAGCCCGGGGAGGGGCACCCCCGGGGTGGTGGGTGGTGGGGCGGGTGGCGGGGCCGGCGGAGGGGCCGGCGCGGGGCTCTCGGGCCGGACAGCGCTGACGGGGCCCGTGGGTGTGAAGATGAGCTGGGGACAGGGAGAGTGGGTGCACAGCTCACCACGTCGGGGTGGCACACCCTCTGTGTCCCTACAGGGTGGCACAGGGGTATCTCTCTATCCATGTAGGGTAGGAACGGGCACTCCCGCTGTGGGGGACGGCACCCTATAGGGTCCCAACACCCCCCCCAAAGGCAAAGAGCACCTGCTTGGGTACCTCCAATGGGGCTCTGGGTGCCCTGTGGGGTCTGGGCATCCCCAGTGGGATGGGGTTCACCCTATACGGGGGCTGGGTTCCCTCAGCTGAGTGAAACCACGCTTCACTGTGTGAAGTCTGCACACCTCACAGCAGGGTGACAAGCACCCTGTGGGGTCCTCAGACCCCCAGGAGGGTGGGGGGGCACCCCAAAGGCTCTGGGCACCCTATGGATTCCCCATGGGTCCCAGGCATGCCACGCAGAACAATGAGCACCCCTACAGTGTCATAGCATGGCCACGGGCGCTCTGTGGGTCCCGGTCACCCCACAACAGGGTGCTGGGCACCCCCTCAGGATGCTGAGGCATTGCACGTGCCAGCCCCACCCTTACCATCTGTGCCCGCAGGTACATCTGGGCCTGGCTGGCGGTGAGGGCGGGTGAGGCAGTGTTGCCCAGCAGCACGGCCTGCTGGGCGATGCCCGACGCCCCGGGCCCCACGCTCTGCGCCCGGTTCAGCAGCTGTGCCGCCGCCGGCGACGTCGCCAGGTTGATCTGCAATGGGCCACCAGGAGAAGGTCGGGGTGCTGGCACAGGTGGGCACGGGCGGGGTGGGGGGTGCCGAGAGGCTGAGGGACTCACCGTGGGCTGCTGTGCCGCGGCTGGCTGGGTGCCATTGCCCCCCGAGGAGCTGCTCTGCCGGTTCGCCGCCAGGCTTGCCTTGGGGAAGAGCGGAAGGTGAGGGGTGTGCCAGCCCCGAGCGACCCCCCATGCCCATGGGGTGCCCGTACCTGCTGCACAGCGGCCAGGCTCTGGAGCTGGGCGCTGGTGAGGTGCTGCTGCTGGAGCGCGGCCGTCTGCAGCATGAGGTGCTGCTGCTGCGCCGCGTACATCTGCTGCAGGTACTGCGCCGCCGTGTTGGGCTGCCGGTGCAGCGCCTGCTGGATCACCTTTGGGGAGGAAATGTGGCCCCGGGCTGCGCCGTGCCCCCCCGGTGCCCCCAGCCCCCCGGTGCCCCCAGCCCCGTACCTGCACGGTCTGGCGGTCGGGGATGCCGCTGTAGACGGAGATCTGGGGCCCGGGCGGGCGCGTGGCCGCGGTGCTGGCGGGCGCCGGGGCCGTGCCGCTGGCGCTGCTGGCGGGAGCTGGAGCTGGCAGCTGCTCATTGTCCATGGCGGGGCCGGGCCGGGTGGTGGCAGTGGGTCAGGCTAGAGCTGGGGAGCAGTGACACAGTGAGGGGGAATCCATCGGGTCCGGGTGGGGAACGGGGGGCTGGGGGAAGGTGGGGGAGAGAAGAATGATGGGAGACCCTGAGGCTCATCCTCCTCCACTAAAGTGGGGTCAGTGCCCCAGGAAAAGGGAGGATGGACAGCAGGATGGACAGAACAGAGGGAAGGAAAGGACAGGAGGAAGCATGGACAGAGAGAGATGGAGGTGAGCAGGTAGGGATGGACAGACGGATGGACTGGAGGAAGAGAGGGATGAAGGGACAGACAGACAAAAGGAAATGAGGAATGGAGGGAAGTAGGAAAGAGACGGATGGAGAGAAGGAAATGAGGGAAGGAGAGGAAGGAAAGAGAGAAACCAAGGGAGTTATGGAACTAGAAAAGGGTAGACATAAGGACAGGTGATAGCAGGTAAAGGATGAAGGGTGGAAGGACAGAGAGAATGACAAACAGAAGGAAAGGGATGGACAGAAGGATGGATGGAAAAGGAGGGACAAATGCAAGGATGGATGGGCAGAAAGGAAAATGAATGGGAGGAGGGAAAGAAAAAAGGATGGACATAAGAACAGAAATAAGTAAGGAAGAAGAGACAAGGACAGGAAAGACAGAAGGAAGGGTCAAGGATGGAAGGAAGGATGGACAAGAGGACAAACAATAAATGACAGACAGAAGGAATGACGGCTCTAAGAATGGAAGGAAGGAATGATGGATGGATAGAAAGATGGACAGAATGAGGAAAGGATCCAGAGATAGAAGGAAATGCTGAAAAAAAGCAGGAAAGTGAGGGACCAAGGGATGGAGGGAAGAACAGACCAGACAGGAGGGAGAAAGTACGGACAGATGAAAAGACACAAAAGGGAGGAAGGGATGGAAGAAAGGCTGGATGGACACGGAGAGGGATGCAGGGATGCAAGGAAAAATGGACAGAGGAAATGGATGAGAGGAAAGGCAGGTGGAAGGAAGAGGGATGAATGGATGGCAGGAGGGGGACAGACAGCATGACAGAAGGGCAGGAGGAAGATGGGGACAGTGCTGTGGGGGCTTTGTGGGTGGCACCTCTGTCACCACTGCCACTGTGGTGGTCATGAGACTCCATGGTCACCGACAGCCACCCACGGCCACCGCGCTCCACCCGTGTCACCCGTCTGAGCCCCTGCGGTGCCACCACAGCGGGACCAGGGACAACAGTGTGGGACACTGGAGACTGGACAGCAGCCACTGAGGGTGGCCTTGGTCACCATGCCACAGCACGGCCCCAGCAGGCCATGCCAGCCTGGCACATGAGGGACGTGGCAGCAGCGATGTCCTGGCCTCGTGTAGCCCATGGCTTTGTCCCCTGAGAAGCCACTGTCGCAAAGCACAGGGTGGCACACGTGGCCTGTGACACTCCCCACCCTGGGGTGTGCACCCACGGCAGTGCTCAGCATCAGCTGCAGAGGCCTTGGGCAGCACTCTTCCCATGGAACAGCCCCAGACCTGCTCCTGCTGCTCTGCTGGCACTGAGCTGGCACGGGGTCCCCGCAGTGACAGACACAGAGGGGTCACACCAGCCCCATCTGCAGTCAGTCCTCCGGGGGGGCCAAGCCCAGGAACCCCCCACAGCTCCCACCCTCCTGTCCTCACCCACACCAAACCCCACCAGGGAACTCAGGGGGTCAGATGGGGATACCTCACTTCTGACACAGAGGTTGAACCCCGAAACCATTACACCCACCCAAAATAACAAAAAATGGAAGATTTTGGGTACTGCTGGGACCCACTGGGGTGGGGGAACGGGGGGGTCCCACACCAGGACAGGAGGAGCTGGGGAGCTGGAATTCCCTGAGCTGAGCCCAAAATGGGGGTGGCAAACAACGAGGGGGTAGGGAAATGTTGGAGGAGTGGGATGGGATGGGGATACAGACAGGGTGTAGGGGAAATATGGGATATGGAGGGGGAAGACGGGAGTAAGCAGCAGTGTGGAGCAATGTGGGGGGAATAATGTGGGGGCTCAGAGTAAGGGGGGATGCAAAGTACTGCTGAAGGTGGGATAGAAAAGAGAGGGGGTCAGATAAAGAGTAGGGATTGGAAAATTATGATGGGGTGGGAATAATGATAAGAGGAAGCAAAAGCAGAAGGGGGGGAAATAATGGGAAAGAGCAGAAAACACTAATGATGGGGTTGGACAGAAGTGAGGGAGGTCAGAGATTACACTGGGGGGTCAGAGGTAACAGCAAGCACTGGAATATGATTGGGGTGAGCAAAAATAATAATAAAGGGGTGCAGGACAGGGAGCAGCAGGGTATGACACAGGGAATGATAAGTGGGTGCAAAATAAGAGGGGGGGATGCAAGATCCTGGCGAGGGGTGGAAAACACTAGTGGGGGTGGGACAGAAAAGAAAAGAAGGGGTCAAATTTAATAAAAAGGGAGTAATAAAAGAGCAGGGACTGGAACATGATGGTGGGGGGTGGGAATAACACTAACGGCGCAAAATCAGAAAAGGAGGTGGAAGATGGGGAGTGGGATATGATGGCAAGGGCTGGGATAGATGACAAGGGGGTCCGATATAGCATAGGGCTCCAGAGATAACACGGGGACACTGGAATATGATGGTGGGCGGTGGGCAATAATAACAGTGATAATAATAATAATAATAAGGGAGTCCAGAACCAGAGGAGGGGGTGCAGCAGAAAGGGAAGGAGGGGAGACGCGGATGGGAAATGGGGGCTCCACGGGGGGCGGGGGCCACGGCCCCGGCTGGGGAAACTGAGGCACGGCGGGTGCGCATGCGCGGCCCCCCCTCCCCTCATCACCCCC